CCACTGCAGTCTTGAGTTAAAATTCCTAAAACCTGATTACACCTTTCATGGATGAATACAGTCAAAGACTTGTCGCAGTTGGTCAGACCCAGGGTGGGGGGATTTTGGAGGCTGTCTTAAGGTCAACAGGTGCTTGTTCATGTTTGTCTTCCCCATGATGGGGATTCTGGTGTGGAGGTTTATGGATGTTCAAAAAGTGGGGAAGCTGTTGAGGAAAAATTAGGAAGCCAAAGCCTGCAATACCCTGCCAGGCTGAAAACCCCTCTAAGTTGGTTTTTTTGTGATAGGTTTTGGAAAGTTTTGTATTCATTGCATATACTTTAGAGAAAAGTGAAATCCCTCAGTGCTGTAAGTCATGTCCTAAATAGTGAATAACCTGATTGAAAAACTCAAGTTTTTCCTTTGAGGACTTGTGACCTTTGTGTGCCAACTGTTGGAGTAAATATACTGAGTCTAATTTAGAGGCTTCCTGTGTGAGAGAACATAGCAACAGAGCACCCACATATGGTAAAAATGAGGGAACTATAGGGTGCTAAGATCTTGATAGAGGGCTTGGGAAAACTTGGTGAGAACTTCAGTAAATCCTCGACACATTACAGTCCAAGTATATTGCTGACTATTCCATGAAGGGCAAATAAATGTTGGTGATTTGGGTCCATGGGGATTTTAAAGAGAGCTGAGCTTAAGTCTACCACTGTCAACCTTTCAGCAGTTGGTGGCACCTGTGATCATAAGGTCTTTGGATTGGGTACCACCAGAAAATGAGGAATCACAGTTTTGTTTATTGCCCTTGGGTCCTGGACATAGCACCATCCTTGCCCAATTGGCTTTTTAATTGGGAGGATGGGAGTGTTACAAGGGCTGGTGCAAGGGACAAGTAACCCTGGTGAAATTAAAGATTCAACCATGGGGATGAGTGTTTGTATAGCCTCTGATATTAATGGATATTGAGTCAATTTAGACAAAGTTTGGTAGAGTGTATTTGGATTTTATGGGTTTAGCACTCTTGATTTTTCCAATGTCTAGTGATAAAGTCACCCACAGATTCTGGGGAACTTCAGCTTACTCGGAAGTCTCACAGGATTGACTCATCTTCACTGTCATCTACAGCACATTGTAGGGCACATAATGATTGCAGTTTCAGTTGGTCAGGGAATGCAAGGGTTAGTTCTCCATCAGGAGCGACCTTTATGTGCCCTTGTAATTCAGATCAAAGACCTCAGCCGAATAAATTCACAGGCGTTGAATCACAAAGCAGAAGAGGTATAATTGTTGGAGACTGGTGCCGGAGTCATCTGCACCAGCCTTGATAGGCATGCTCATTGTATCTTATTTGAAATCTTCACTCTTTTATATTGCTTTTCACTCTGAGAGATAGTTTGTTTCTAAAAGGTGGGGGCTGCCTTAGGTGTAGATTTGTGACTTGGCTGGGCCACTGGGGCAGCCTTCGTTTTGTAGGTCCTGAGAGATGAAATTTCCGTTATGAGAACCCGCGTCTGCTCGACTCAAGCCTGTTCTCCATCCGTTCTACCTCCCCATGTTGTCCCAGGAAGGGACTGCAGTTGGCATTTGGTTGTGAATTTGATGAGGGTTTATTTATTTATTTTGTTTAGGATCCCATTATAGATTCATATCCTTTCCCACCCCACCGCACCCCAGTCTGTACTTGAATTTGGGGAAAGGTAATTACAGTTGAAGTGATGCACGTACTTAAAAGGAAGTCCACATCTCTGCCTTCATCCTGCATGAATATGGAAGAGGGATTTCTATCTAACCAGCCCTGCTCATTCTCCCTTCTGATGGGGAATGTCTGGAAGCTCTGGGGACCAAACCAAGCCCACGGAGAAGGCAGAGCTGTGGCTGGGCTGCCTGCCTCCTTCTCACCCACGGCTGCATCTGCATCCTTCCAGGCAGTGCCCGGGGCCCTGGGAGACCACTCCTCTTCAGCCCCCTTTCCACCTGACAGGGGATGTAGAACTGAGCTTCCCACATGGGAGCTACAGTTGATTTCTGACTTATCCACCTCCTAGCTTTCAGCTCTTAGAGCTCAGCCCTCAGGGAGATCACTCCTGATTTCCAAAGCTGCAGCGAAACCCGCTCAGCATTAACCTCCAACTCCAAATTCAAATCCTGAGGCTGCAGATTTGCAGGGTCAGGGATTAGGGGAGCTGGCATTTTAAAGTCACAAGTATAAGGGGAGGCCGTAATAATCATGCTTTTTAGTCATATTGGGCTTGTGACTATGTAATGACTGTTACTTGCTAGATGGTTTGCAAACATGGTATCATTAATCCACGTAGCAACTCTTTTCCATTATACAACTGAGAAAAATGAGGCTAAGAGAAGTGAAGTGATTTGCCTTAGTTCACACAGCTGGTACTGGCAGACCCAAGACTCCAAACCTGGTCTGTCAGACTCCAAAGCTTAGAACCGTGAACTAGTTTGCCCAAGGTCACACCATGGCTAGTAAGTAACAGAGCCAAAATTCCAATTAAAACAAGAACAGGAGACCATGCCTTCCCCGACAGACTTGTAGAGATAAAAGAAATGGTAATACGAAATAGGAGTCAAGGTGAGGCAAGGTGAGTGAGATGAGCATTCTTTCAGGCACTCAAGCTTCTGCAATTTGATATTTCCCTTTTGAATAGCAATTTGATAATACATACACAGTCCTTAATTTTTCAATTCCATCTCTAGGAAAGTAATTTTTTTTAAAACTTCACAAAGAATTTTATCACAAGGTACTTTATTAAAGAGGGGAGAAAAAAAAAACAACCTAAATTTCACCGACAAGGATTGGTAAATAAATTATAATACGGCCACTCAGTGGTATATATTATGTGACTTTAAAAGTTGTATTCATAAAGATTTTCATTAATTCATTGAAATTTCATTTTCATTTCATTCATTAAAATGAAAAGTGCTTACGATGTAAGTCTAAAAGGATAGAAAGTATTATAACAATGTTTAAATGCATAAAAAATCCTGGGAATAAATATTCTAAAATATTAATAATGATTATGTTCAAATGTTAGAGATAGAAGCCATTGTATTTTTTCTTCTTTCTGTTTTTCTGCATGATTAAAATCTCCCATAAGGTTATTTTTTCCATAATAGGTAAATATGACGGTCGGTCACTATAAAGAGTATACAAATGCATGTACTCTGGACTTTGAAAGCTATTCCAAGAGAAGGAAAATCATAATGAATGTTATCAACATCTTTGGATTAAATGTAAAGCAGCTCAAAGTGACTAATTTGAAGGGAGCATGAGATTTATTCAGACTCTGCACCTCCCCCTTTCCTTTCTACCCCTTTACTTGTTTTAGTTTCTTGTCATCACTCACCACTGTATGAAATGATAGATCTTATTTACTTAGGTACCTACTTACTTAATTGTTGTCCCTCTGTACACCTTCCCCATCACCCTCACCCCCTGCACCTTGAATCGTCTCTGGCAGTCTGTGGGCCTCAGTGAAGACTTGTAGAAGGAATGAACTCACTCTTGCCCTGACATTCCCCTAAGTGCTATTATGTTCACTTAAATCAGCAGTTCAAAGAAGAGAAACTGAGAGGGGAAGGACAAGAACGTAATTTAAAAATACTTCCATAAATAAAAACCTAATTACCTCTCTCCCCAGTGCACCCCCCCCCGCCAAAAAAAATCTCTGATCCTCTAGCGGCAGCTGCAATGAGTCAGGGTTATCAAAATAAATCACGCCCACTGCCAACTGCATAAAGAATATTCCACTGTTGGCCAAAACTTCTAGTAAAAGTAAGCATCGTATTTGAAATGTTTGCCACGTGCCAAGAACTGTGTTAATAAGCATTTCTAAAAAAAAAAAGCATTTCTGTGTATTAATATCATTTCATCTTCATGATAGTCCTATGGGTGGGTATTATTACTCTCATTGAAGAAACTGAGTCTCAGGGAAGTTAAAAAAAACTCGCCCAAGGTCACCCAGATGATAGGTGGTGGAGCCAGGATTCAAAGTGAGAACACCGTGGTTTCCATGCCTGGCTAAGCATGAAAAAAGGAGAGCGCCAGAGCCCACTGAAAGTCACCAACTCAGGGTTTCCCAGGGTCTGGCCCTGGGATGCACTGAAAAGTCTCCACTTGAGATCCACCAAACAGTGAAGACTTAGGCCCAGTTCAGTCTCAACCTAAACTCACCTTTTTAACTACTCACTCCCCACAGACCCAGTGCTAACTTCCCTAGAAGAATCTTTGTTTGGCAGAACCACTGGTGGTCTTTGTGAAGGCTTTGGTCCAAAGATCAGCTTTCAGGATGTGACTTGGTTCTCAGAGTGATGGAAACCAGCACACACAGGCTCAGAGGATTCTAATGGAAAAGTGTCTCAAAAACCTGGACGACTTAACATTATCTTCCAAGCCCAGGAACGTGCCTTTCACTCAGCCTGGAGCCCTGCCCCTCCTCCTGATGCCTATTCAGCACCTACCTCTCCATCTTTCAGATCACAGCTTCTCACAAAGCTTTTTTTATTTACTTGTGTGATTATTTACTTGTTGCTTCCTCTGGCTCTAGACCAAAGCGAGCAAGGATCAGGCCTTATTTTGCTTGTCTCCAAACCCTGGCCCCAGGCCTAGCATGTAGTTGGCACTCAGTAAACAGTAACTAGCCTTTGGAGACCTCCTGCTATGTGCCAGGGTCTGTGCTGAGCATTTCATTTATATCAACTCACTTAATCCTTACAACAACCTAATCGCTATTTCACAGATGAACAAACTGAGGCATAGGAAGACCAAGTGGTCGCTTAAGCGTCTCAAAGGCTCAGACACACCAAGCTGGTCAATTGCAAAGCCCAGATTCAAACCCAGGCAGTCAAACTCCAAAGTTGAAATCCTTGATTAATTCATGTTATGATGGTTGATTGCTTGAGGGTTTAATCAGTGGCCTGTGGAGCAGCCACACCCACAGTTCACCTGCTGGAGACTAGAGCTCACACCTGACTGGACGGGACTGATCAGAGAGTCCAGGCAACGTGGCCGAGCACCAGCCATCAGAGAGACGTGAGGCACCTGGGAAGGGCTGGGCTTTGGGGCAGCCCTGAGATTATACTCTGGCCCCGTGGCTTATCCTCTCTGGACTCCAGCTCTCCCGTCTGCTCTGCAGATTAGTAATTCTCACACTCCAGGCTATTATGAAGATTGGATGACCTGCTGTACATGAAATAATCTCCCACGGTGCATCACACCTGGCAGCAGGTACACCACACAGTTGTCTCCTTTCTTTAATCGATCTCTGCCTTTCTGCATCTCAGTCTAAAGGCTCTTCTAATAAGGCTCTAGCTTTTTCCAACGAGCATTCTCCAGCTGAGATACAAAGGCAGCTGTGGCCTTTGCTCGCGTCTGCCTGCTCCCTCCCTGAACCTTCTGCTATTTCGAGCTCATCTCTCATCAAGGTCCTTTTCCTTTTCCAAGGTAGCTAGGATACAGACTTGTTAGGCCTGGCTCTGAATTCCCTGAGGTGGACAAAGCAGGGCCTTGCACAAGTAGCCACATGGGGAAGCTGAAAAGGACAGAATCAAGAGAAGAGAAGGGAGATAGGGCCAGCCAAGCCCTCCCCTGTGACAGAGCTCAGAAGCAGAAAGACGGAGACAAAGGGAGTGCCTGCCTTTCTCCTTTCTTTCCTTTCTTTCTTTCCTTCCTTCCTCCTTCCCTCCCTCCCTCCCTCCCTTCTAGACAAAGGTCAGTATTTGTGAAAGGATTAAATGATTTGGGACTGCAGATGACTTAAGTATTGACTAGGACAAGCTAGAAAGGGCAGTGTCTTGGTAGGAACAGGCTACTGTGGCACATTTAAGCACAAGGAAAAATCAGCATCAAAAACACCTCCCTGTGGGTCTTTGGTTGAGTAAACTTCCTGCTTGGCAGCGCAAACAACCAGCTGAACCTCTCCTGCGAGGGCAGTGGACTGCTTGTTTCTGAAGTCACCCTCCCGAGCATCAGTGAGAACAGGGGACTGCTTCCAGGAGAGAGTCCACACAAAGATCCAGATTCAAATGTCCCCTTTTTACAGGTAGGCTTCCTGAGTTCCTCTTTTTTTTTTTTTTTAAGATGAAAACATTTTCCGATAAACACATTATGTATGTACAATTCAGACCACTCAGAAAAAGAGAGTGAAAAGTAAGCCTTCTTTCCACCCCAGTTCTCAGGTTCTTGGGTGCAACTATTACATTCCTCTGCCCCCAATGTATTACATAACTTCAGGTCTCCTAGTTCAAGCATTTTCCTTCCTGTGAATTATTTCAATCACCAAATACGTATGAGCCTCTTCTATGCGGCAGGCACTGGACGAGGCACCGAGGACACCAAGACACAGTCCCTGGCCTTAGGAAGCCTACGGTCTAGGGAGGAAGAGCATCAGATGTACATGCGTGATTGTGAAAAGGGCCACAGAGGAAAAGTACAGGCATATAACACGCCTGGCCAAGGAAATGACATTTGAGCTGGTGTCTGAAGAATGAATAGTTGTTCAGACAAGAGGGAAGACGTTTTCCTGCCAGAGGGAACAGCATGTGCAAAGGCCCTGCAGAGGGAAGGCGCCTGGCAGGAGGGACTGGAAGAAGGCAGTGGGGCTGCACAGAGTGAGAGAAGGTGTGAGGTGAGGTTCAAGGACAGGCCGGGCTGGCTCACGCAGCCATCTGGCAATTCTGGCAACCGGCCCAAAGCTTTCCAGAGTTGTGACCGTAACAAGGCCCTGTGCCATGCACTTTGGGGAAACCAAAGACCTTCCAGAACTTACTTGGAAAAAAAAATATGGACAAACGAAGCAAAAGCTAACAGCATAGGATTTGAGCTGTGGGACAAAACAGCCCATGGGTGGGTTAGGGAGCAAGACAGAAAGCTTCACCAGGCTGGGAATGGAGGGAATACCCAAAAGAACTGAAAGTAGGATCTTGAAGAGATATTCATGCACTCACATTCATAGCAGCATTATTTCACAATAGCCAAAAGGTGGAAGCAACCCAAAAGTCCATCGATGGACGAATGGATAAACAAAATGTGGTCCATATGTACAATGGACCTTCCTGTCACTGTATTATTTTTTGCTCTCTTTTTAGAATTATTTGATTGAAGAACACTTTCTTTTTTTAAGAACATATTTTTGAGGAGAATGGGAAGCTGTTTTTTAATGGGTACAGAGCTTCAGTTTGGCAAGACAAAAGAGTTTTGGAGATTGGCTGCACGACAGTGTGAATGAATGTACTTCACACTGCAGAACTGTATACTCAAAAATGGTTAAGATGGTAAATTTTATGTTATGTACACCCTTCCACAATTAAGAAAAAACTGTATCATATGATACCACAACCAGGATACTGCCATTGACCCAGTCCATTCATCTTATTTAGCATTCCCCAGTTTTACTTTACTTGTGTGTGTATTGCACACGTGTGTGTTAATTCTATACAATTGTATCACCAGGCAGTTTCCTGTATCCACAGCACAGTCAAGATATAGAGTAGCCCCATCACCGCAAGGATCCCTGTGTTGCCCTTTTTGTAACCACACCCACCTCCCCTCTTCATCCCAGTCCCTGCCACTCATCCATCTTCCATTTCTAAATTTCTGTCATTTCAAACATGTTACGTACATAGAATCATACAGTACATGGTAAACTTAAAGTCACCCCCGCCATTAAAAATTTGTTTTAAAAAGAAAAGAAAAAAATTTTAAAAGGAAATTTAAAAAATTTTAAAAGTCACAACACTGTAAAATGATTATGAATCAATAAAAAAATGTAAAAAAAATAAATAAAGGGGAAAAAATTTTAAAAGAAAAGAAAAATTTCTTTAAAAAAAAAAGCATGTGATTTGCAAACATTTTCGATTTTTCCTTTTATGAAAGATCCTTTTTCTGTTAAGTCTAAGAACTCTTTGCCTAGCCCCAGATGCTGATTTTTCACTCATTTTTTTCCCTAGCAGTTTTATAGTTTTACTTTTACATTAAAGTCTATAATCTATATTTTGATTTAACTTTTGTATAATGTGTGAGGTTTATGTGGAGGTTCTTTTTTTTGCCTGTGGACATCTGATTGGATTTGTTTTTTTTAAAGACACATTTATTCAGCATCACGATCAGACTATTACATTTAGCAATCAACAGCTGGGATGCAAAAAATAATCCCCTCAAACCTACATGACACACTTGGTTGTAATGCCCTCCATTTTCCACCGAACAAAAATTAAAACAACCTGTTGTGCAATTAGTCACAAACACAGTCCTTGAGGTTTTTGCCCTTACACACGAGTAGTGGCTAAAACAGGTCTTCTCTGTATTAGATAGACTCTGCCACCACTGTGCTTGGCTGAGTTCACAAATCTCTTGTAACCTGTAGCTTCCCAGTCACTTCTCTGGCTCTCCTCTCCTTCTAAGTGTTATTTCCTGGCAGTAATTAAAACCATCTGCCGCTGTCACAGCTACTGCTGCTGCTGGAACCCCCGTGAACCTTGGTTTCATGGTCTGACAAAGTATTCATCTCTACCTCCATAGAGGCTTTTGCCTCCAGAGTTTCCTCCCCTTCATGGGTCTACAATTTGAAAATGAATTATAATGGCCAAAATCAGTGTAGCTTCCACCACCTCCAAAATAGTTTCCATTAATTCCAAATCCATGATAGCCCTCCTCACTGCCATCATATCCACCACCACCACCACCAGGACTGCCACCAAAGCCACCTTGACCACTGAGGTTT